CCGGGGGGGGGGGGGGGGCAAAGGGGGCAATTTGCCCCGGGCCCCGAGTTGCTGGGGGGAGGGGGAGGTCGCCAAAATAATATCGGGAAAAAATTTTTCCGGAAAATTTTTTTTAGATAGGGCCCCCTAAAAAAAATTTGCCCCGGGCCCCCGCCAACTTCTGGGCGGCCCTGTTCATTTAGTATAGTGCAGCAATTCCCTCATTTGCATCAATGTTTGCATCATCATGTCCGCCATGTTTGTTACAAATTCTGCCAGGCGCTTCGTTTCCCGTGTCCCACCCCCCCAAGCACCCGCGCGCGCTCGCTCATCTTAGCCACTGATCTATATAAAAACACTGTGGTGTTGCTATTTTTAGTACGTTATTTGCGCCTGGGTACGAGGCTGAACAACACAAGCATGCGTTCAATGTTGGCGTAATGCGGAATACTTCATATCGAAACAATGTTTGGAAAGTATAGGCGAGGGTTGCCGCGTGTGTATATTTCTAGCAGAGAATTAAAGATACGGCGTGAGATAATAAGATGGACGCCTATATTTAGACGCAAACAATTTCTTGTTAAAGAAAAACATGACTGCCTTGTGCCTGTGCCTGCCTTGTGCCATGTGGGGAGAGAGCAGAGAAGAGAAGGAAAGAACAAAAGCTCCCTCATTGTAGATCTAGATGTCAAGGATGTGCAGATACAAAAACTATAAAGTAATTCAAAATTCCACAGTCAATCAAGCTGGCTTGCTACACTTTTTAAACGAAAGGAAGATTTCCTGATTTGGACACAAATTTCTGGACAATAATTATTTGCTGAAAAACAAAGATTATCTGACTTGAATTAAAGAGTAACTAAGGAGTTAGGAGTTTTTAAAAACTTACTTTTAACAACCGTTGCTATGGCAATAATGAAGTTTCAATATGACAGATATTATCGGTTTAAAGTAATTTCACTCGAAAATATTAATAAAATCGGTGACCCCCATTTTTTATTTTATAGCATAATTTCTTTTAGTATTTTGAATCATTTTCACAATGAAACAAAAAATTGTCATGCCGACATTTCGACAGAATTTTTTAAAAATCATGATAATGATTCAAAATGCCAAACGAATTCTTTTTATGAAATAAAAACTGGGGGTTAACCGACCTTATTTGCAATTTAAATAATTTAAAATCCAAAATATCGGCCATATTAAATCGTTCTTAAAATATACTACCAGAGTTAGGCCGTTTGCCGTGACCTAAAAGTATGCCTAGAAAAGATTTCATTAAGCATGTCGTGGAACTGAAATATTTTCACGGTAACTAACATTTTCGAACACGCTGAATTCAAATCCGAAAAGTTGCCGCTCCGCAGACCCGCAGTTTTTTCACAAATTGCATTTCTATTTTCAGTTCTTCGACGAACAAAAATAAACACGCGCCATTTTGAAATTAAATAACATCATTCAGAGTATGCCGTTTTTGCTCCCCAGTCTCCGATGCTCATGACCGAGTTAAGATTTAGAGCAATGTTATTAAATTTGCTGCAAAACAAACACAGTCACGTGGTTTTAAAAATGGCTTGTCAGAGTGATTTTCAGTTTATTTGCCAGTAAAATCGCTAAAGAATGAGAAATAAATGTTTAAATTATTTCTTTGCCAGAGAAAAGCAATAAGGTAGGTGTTCTCTGTGTATATTTTTTGACTGTGTTTAAGGCTAAGTGAACAACCATCACGATTTATTCAGGTTAGCTCTCAGACTGACATATAAGGAAAGGATTAATTAAGGCCAGTCTGCTTGAATACTCACAGTAAAATTGTTCCATATCAAGTTTGCTGTTTATGGGAATTATTGTTGGTCATGAGGTGTAAAGTAATTTATAGAAACTGTTCTTCAAATATTGATTTATCACCCTATGAAATGTCAAGAAGGCCAACAAAACCATGGACATTTGCATAGTATAAATGATTATTATATCTGCATAACCTGCTGCTGACTTATTTATTCCATGCTTTATTGCATCTTCAAGATTTAGACTGTGCTAGAATATATACACACAAGAATATATAATAGGATATACAAATAAGATTCTGCATGAATAGATTGGGTCTAAACTTGTATAATTCCGTCCATTGCAAGGAAAGATGTTTAAACTTGTATTAAATATTTTTTATTCGTAAGTGGCTTTCCCCATGCAGGGCAGAGTACACAAATCTGAGTGCGGCCTGTTATTGATCACATTTAGCTCAACTGCATAGTAGAGCACCAGGTTAGTGACCTGGGTGTTTAACCTATTGCATGAGCGCCAGCACTTTTCCACTGGACGAGTAAAATTGTCTGGCATTAAATAGAGCAAACTAATAAAGTAGGGGGGGCATTGGGGAGCAATGTAACTACTTTAAAGGGTTAAGATCCAAGCACAGCTGCCTGGGACATGTATTTTTCCTTATTTCTAACAGGTTATAAAACAAAACAAACAACTTGTTTACTGTCAAGCTGGAAAAACCCCAGCATAACAACACATAAATATTACTTTGTCAAATTGGGCAACAAAACATTAATGCTGTTGAATATTTCCACCTATAGCTAGAATCATAGCAAAAATTCTGTGGACACTTATAGGTGTGAACGATTAAAGTATTACTGTTCACATACACATGTTCATCTCCCCCATCAGTCACAGATCGAGCTTTCATCTAACCGATCTAGAACCTTTTCATGCTGTTTTTGCATGTATGTTTGGACAAGGCAGGTATTTGTATTTTTGCGCACACTGTCCACAATAATTTTTTCCACGATAGTAGGTAGATATTCTAATTTAGGGCTGCTTATATGAGCGGCTAATGTAGATCTCAAAACCAGGCTGATCTCTGTCAGCCAAACATCTTTCCTTGCAATGGACGGAATTAATACAAGTTTAGACCCAATCTATTCATGCAGAATTTTTTTTGTATATCCTATTACATATTCTTGTGTGTATATATTCTAGCACAGTCTAAATCTTGAAGATGCAATAAAGCATGGAATAAATAAGTCAGCAGCAGGTTATGCAGATAATCATTTATACTATGCAAATGTTCATGGTTTTGTTGGCCTTCTTGACATTTCATGGGGTGATAAATCAATATTTGAATAACAGTTTCTATAAATTACTTTACACCTTATGACCAACAATAATTCCCATAAACAGCAAATTTGATATGGAACAATTTTACTGTGAGTTTTCAAGCAGACTGGCCTTAATTAATCCTTTCCTTATATTTGTCTGAGAGCTAACCTGAATAAATCGTGATGGTTGTTCACTTAATCACTTGTTTGTTCTTCTACAGGCCATTAGCCTTAAACAAACTCCAAAAATATACACAGAGAAAACTTACCTTATTGCATTTCTCTGGCAAATAAATAATTTAAACTTTTATCTCTCATTCTTTAGCGATTTTACTGGCAAATAAACTGAAAATCACTCTGACTAGCCATTTTTAAAACCACGTGGCTGTGTTTGTTTGGCAGCAAATTTAATAACATTGCTCTAAATCTTAACTCGGTCATGAGCATCGGAGACTGGGGAGCAAAAACGGCACACTCTGAATGATGTTATTTAATTTCAAAATGGCGCGTGTTTATTTTTGTTCGTCGAAGAACTGAAAATAGAAATGCAATTTGTGAAAAAACTGCGGGT